TGTACTTGGTCCTATACACCAGACGCTTGGGGTAGCTCAGTGCATAGTACTCCTCAGGGGAAAGTGGGCCCTCCTGACTTTTTCTGGGAGAGGGAGAAACTTGAGAGAAGAGAGAGAAACGGTCATAAGTAGCTATTAGAGCAATGACAGGAACAATGAAACTGGCGGGGAATTCATATCATACGATGCATATGCGTACGTATGCAGCCGCAGTAGGCAGAAACCGTTACAACTATGTAGTAGAAAGTAACGAATTCGAGCTAGAGCCTATAAGAACTCAAGACCAACCCAATTCTTGTTAGTTACGACTCGTAACGCATAAGCTTTCTAAGCTTCAGCGGAAACAGGTATTAAGAAGAGAAAGATTGCCCATTGAACTCGCACAACAGGGAAGTTCTGGCTAACCTCCAACGCTTTTACTACTTTTTGGCATACGAAAAAACATACAACCGATAAGATTCACAAGCGCAGCCTTACCTAGCTCCTGTTTAGTCCTAATTCGGGAGTATCGATCACTCGGGCGAGCGCTATCCACGATTCTCATCGCGTTTGCCGCACTTTTAGTGTTTTCATCTCGAAAGTCGTCATCATCTATGGGTTGTTCATCGAGATTGGGTGGGGCTGCTGGGCGGTATGCCCGTGCAAGAGGAGCATCGTCTTGGGCTCAAAGGTACAGTACCATTCATTCGGTTGGCGCAGTAATATGCCACTTTTCGTAGTTACAATAGCAATTTTGCGAGAAGATCGATGTGCTCATTGAGCCGTAAAGTACCACAAGTCATGGGCGAGCTACCGATGAACGGGTTTTCAGAACAACCAAGGTAAGGTGACGATTGTTTCGTGTTCCGTTACTCTCTGATATTCTCGATTTCTTGATAACACAACGACTAAGCTGCCCGCCTGTTCGGTTCACCGTTCTGATTATCTTTATCACTATTACCATACGCTCCGACTGTGCTCATTATAGGTGAATTACCGAGAATGGGTCTTGTATACGCTATTTCTCGTCGCAGTGGTGGGGAGTAGAATTGAAATCAAGCTTGGGTGTAGAAACTCGACTCCTCTCGAGTGTCTATAGTGAGCATTTGAGTCTTGGATAGTCGCTTTGAACGGTTCAAGGATTCCGGTCCATTACAGTGTGAGCTTGGTCTTTTCCTCAGATCAGTCGGAACGGCAGAGATGGCCACGTTGTTGTCCCGGAACATAGCAGGTGAATGCGGACCCCCTCTTGAGGCTGGTGAGTCCACTGAGGAGTTACTCGAGGTAAGTGACTCTGTCGAGTGGGGGAGATTACTGTGGTGTTTCAGATGATATTCTGCGAAATATCTACAGTAAATTGGATGGAAAATATAAGTTTTTTATATAAAAGACAAGCTTGATATCATCCGACAGCTACCTCCAGAGAGTATCTTATGTTCATGCGTGCAAGAGATGTGATATCATATTCTGGTACCAAGATTTCGATACTTCATACTGAGCGTCACCCGATTTCCCATGCGCACAATGATGGAATTTTGTTTCTGTTGATAGCCATCAGTGATGCGTTCCGTCAAGTGGAGGGAGGTCCTTGGTTCGATCCCAGTACCGGTCGCAGAGTTTCAGCTCTTCTGTTTGTGGCGTGGCGCACGCCCAATTGATCGATTTGCTTGTTTTATGGTCGTGAAGTCTAGTAAGTCTGGCCCGACTCCTACCAGTGAGGAGGAAGGCGAGACCAAAGATGCTCGGAGGTGAGTCGACTGTGGTTTCTGGCAGTAAAGAGACGCTTTTGTTTTCGATGTGGTTGATCGATCATATCATAGCGTTGTGGGTTATGGCGCTGAATCAGGTATTTCAAAGAGGGTCAGAAGCATGTGACTCCGCCGAAGGTGAGATTATCTATGGGAGTGGTATGAGAACTCGAAATCTCTCAGGGTGATTCGACCCGAGGGTTCTATGAGTCTTTACTTGAGGAGAAACCTGATAGTGTTATGGCTACACGATACTGTGTGGAATACGGCATATTCGCAGGAGAGAAGTAATACATGGCTTAGAGAGTTCCTGAGGGATGAGGAGGATATCGCTTTCAAATCATTGGAGCTGGATAGTTTGAACTGGAGCGAGAACTGTGCGTTAGTAGACGTATAACCGTCAAGTTACGATACCTCCCGACCAAAGGCAACCTACATAGCGAGGCTTGGTTTTGATTGGTTTTTGTTGCACCTGTAGCGTTGATGAGACTTTCTCGGTGGATATCAATGTAGGAGCAGTTGTTCTAGCATTACGATTGATTCTCAGGCATCGGAAGCTCCTGGCTCAATACAACGACCTGAAGGCTAGTGGCGATTTGAATCCCAATAAGCGAGCACTGGATCGCGTTGCTGAGAAGTTTGGGTAGTATCATTTGGAAATGGAGTATAAGGGGACGGCGTTCTGGGTTTTTTAAGATCGACTTCAAATCTATACTCTCGTGGATGGTACTTAGTTGAAATGTGTTATTCGATGTAATTTCATGGCGTGTGACATGTTTGTGCTCAGCATCGCCAGTGAGGAGAGTTCTGCTCCGAGTGCTAAGCGAAGGAAGACGACGAAGGACGAGAAGAGCAAGAAGAAATCGTCGTCAAGTAAAGTTAAGAAAGAGAAGAAGAGTAAATCTAAATAATCAATGCCAATGATCTGGTGTATTATTTACGATAATACGACCGTCGATGCTTCGGACTGCCACCAGCTCGCGTTTGGGTCTTCTCACAGAGTTATCGCGAGTAGTTATCACTTGCTATGTCCAACGATACAGTAACAGACCATTCGCAACTGGATGCCACTGCAATGGCTATCACCGTAATACAAGGCTTCGAGGGGCTTTTGAGATCTTGGGGGACGATGTTGGAATTTTCTTCATTATAACTCTATCGTGAATTCCGGAGACGCGAGATGATGCTGTTTTCAGTTTGCCAAGACTATCGGTCGCGTCGCTGACTTTGCTGTGGATCTTGCAGAGCAGCTCCATAAGGATCTCGGCTTAGAGTACAAGCCTACTGTGCACGGCAAGAAGACAAAGAAATCGGTATGTTCCGGATTGCCCTCATTGCTAGAGCGTTGTAGCGGCCAATGAGTATTAGCCTGCGTTCTGATTCCCTTGTTAGCGCCGCGCATGTAATGGACGGGTAGAGCAACGGTGTACCATCTGGTTGGAATGATCGTATTCGAGTAGAACTCATATCCATCCTTCTCAATGGAATCCGGATCTCGGCGATTCCTGGGTGGAGGATTCAATATTATACGGTGTTCAAGGTTCGAGACCCTAACATGCCGAAGAAGCCGAAGACTGCGTTCTTCCTCTTCTGTGACACTGAACGAGAAAAGGCTAAGGAAAGAGTAGTGTAGCGCACTAAACTTGGTGGACAGCGCTCATTCGAGTGGGCCTCGGTTCGATCCCGGGATGCGTGATTTATTTCAGGGAGATGGTCCTCCAACCACTAAGGATATGGCCGAAACCTGGAAAAGTGCGGACGACGATGTAGCAAGATATCTGATTGGAATGTTAGTCGTCAAGGGAGGTGTTCCTATGGTAGGTGAAAGCGCACTACTCGAATGAACAGGCGAAGCTGAAGGAGCAATACGAGAAGGTGATAGCGGATGACTTTAGTTATTTGACCTTGTCGACCTTCAGGATATGAATGCCTACTATGCGGGCAAGCAGCACAGTGGGAGCGGCAGCCCTCCGCCGTCGAAGAGAGACGTAGGGATGGGAAACACTGGCCCTCTATTATCGAATAATTGAGTCTTGGTCCACTGTTACCTATTTGTGACCGGCTTCACTGAATGGTCGTATCTTTAGAGTCCGGACACCTCGAGCGCGTCGGAAGACGAGGAGGAGAACGCTCAAGTGCCAAAGAAGCTGAAGCGATAGATTATTAGACGCTCTCTGTTTCCCAGTATTTTCGGGAAATCTTGTGTAAGTGAGTCAATGAAAGAATGGATGGAACTATCAACTTGTCTGAAGTATGCTATCAACTTGATAGCGTTCTTCAGAATCCGCCGGAGGATCGATTCGGATTGTTATGACATCCGGAAAAGCGTCTCTATGCTTTGCCATAGACAATTGGCTGGAGGTTGGTTATGTGGTTCGGTCAGGATAAGATGCCAGATATTAGATGATAACTCCCTCGTACTAGCGTTCTGAGGTATCGAGGAATCCAGAGCAGTGTACACGAGTTCGTTCATCAGTGATGTGATGCTTGGCGCGCATGCACATAACTGTCTCTTCAGCTGGGAGATATGTGTCGGAGCATCGCAAGCTCTCTATCGTATGGCTCACTCCGTGACTTTGCGACCAAAACTTCGGTAAATCGTCATAATTGCTTCTATTCGTGACCGGCGATGCGTCTGATCGTAATATAGACTTCACATTGCTGAAGAAGGGTTGCGATTGTGTCAAGGGGTCCTGCATGCTCTCTATCGGCACGCTGGATGGTTGTTACGATTCGTATCAGTGAAAGATGGAATGGTGGTAAGATAATCACTCACGACAAGATTCATACTATCTCCATACTATGAACACCGACGGTTCCACCGACAGTTTGGCCGAGTGCTCTTAGGCGCTGGCTTAAGGTGGCCGGAAGAGCGTGGGTTCGAACCTCACAGGAGTCAGTCGTTTCTTGGTAACACTCGATCTGTCAATATCAAGCCTGTCACTTCTGCATGATATACATTCCTTCCAGTTTCGTGAACACAGGTTCCCTTTGCGATCAAACATGTCTTGCATTAGTGTGAGAGACGTCTTGACGCACTGCGCTTCCATATCTCAATAGGATCGTCGTTCCTTGAACTGTATTGAGCTGATGTTGCATGATACACGATAGAATCAAACGTCATTTCATGCGTAAGTGTGCTTGGGAAGAATTGACGGGTTTTCCGGCGATTTCGACCATTCCGATCAACCAGCTCGTTTTTTCATTTCGATTTTCGCGACGAGCCTGAAGCTCAGCGAAGCATTCCATTGGAGATTCATCGATGTATCGAACGAGGAGACTCAGTTATTTACTGACAGTTAACGTCGTCAGTAACAGAATACCACTGAAGCACTTGATCTGAGTTCTTCCGTGAGAGGAGGCACACGATACCATAACCGGTCGGCATTGACAGCTCCTTCCGATGCAACAGTTCCATCTACTCAGTGAGTGCTTCAATTCTTCGTGTTTTCCTCCCCTCAACTCATCAAAATTGGATTTCTCACTTTTGTCCATGACTCATTGGAATCACAAACATGCAATCTTATGAGGCCAAAGAAAGGGCGAGGGTAGAGAAGATGGTCGTGAATAAGGATATCCTTCATCTCCGATAATGATTATGTCAAAATTGTCCCCCCGCCTTGTCGAGACTCCTACGAGCATCAATAACGATAACGATTATGAGGCTTTCGTCAATTCTCTGAGGGAGCAGTCCATTGGCGAAAACGAGAGAGTTACTGTTCCTTTCGATGGCTCTTCAAGGGAGCTGGTGTAGGACATTAATTTTCCAGCAGTATTGAGGTTTCAGCTCAGGTATTGCGACTTCACTGCATCAGGCCGTAGCGTATCGGCTATCGAGGAGTTCATTACTACCACTGTGTGTCCCACGTGAGGGTTGTTTCTCCCGTCGAGTCCCTATGTCTATCTTCATGTAGATACGCCAACACTCACACGTTGGCTTCGGCAACTGCGCGGCAAACGATGCAGTACCGCGAGGAAGCGAGGGACAAGGTTCGTGAGTATTTCAATTGCACTAAAGATGACTCTGGTGACATACTTGATTGTGTGAATTGGTTATTATATTCAGCGGTTCAGTTATTTTCTGCGGCGCCGGGGCTACTGGGGCCATTAACAAATTCGTTGAAATCATGTGTCGTAGTCGGGTCTTCGCCACACAGAATTCACGGAAGGGACGTCGTCGTGCAGTATGCTGGTCCCAGTTGCTCACTTCTACCGTCATCAACCCCTTTCAGGTTTTGATCATTGACCCTGTTGCTCATCATAGCTCAGTCCTGCCGTTCAGGGAGCTGGCTTTGAGATATCCCCTTGCTCGTGTCACTCGTTCGAGAGCCGGTGAGACTGATAGTTCGTCACGATTCTTGGATATGGCTGTTTTCAAATTATCTTCCTCAGTCCCGGGATCGTTCGTCAAGCGGTTCAGTGGTGACAAATCCGCAGATGTGGAAGTCGAGTTAGTTGTCGGAGCTGTCGAATTTCGCAACATTGCAGCGCATTTTTGTCATCTTAGACCTTGCCTCTGGACCCAATCAGAGGAACCGCCTCCGTACGTGGTCTGGTCGGAGTCCTCCAGAAGGTCAACTGCTTCTTGCTACTGTCTATACTCAAGTATCGTTCCTCAGGTTACAGCATTCAATCGTCATCATCACGATTTTGCTGTGCCCGTAGTTGTCCTCTCCGCCTGTAGCAACGTCACTGGAGCCCGTCTTGATGTAGCCCAGTTTGTCTTTTGCGTAGCCGCGTTGTTGTCGATTAGATACCTACTGTGTCAACTTTGATTCATCAATATGACGGAATAGCGGCATGGGACTTGGCTGCTATCGCTGCTCACAACAAAGTCGTGATCTTATCAAGTTCATCGTGAGTTCATCGCTACCTTTCAGGTCGATATGAATCCTTCATCTCACCCTAGCGGCTATATCGACTTCGCTTTCGTATCGCCACATAAACTCCTCGGGGGTCCGGGTAGCAGCGGTATTCTGCTCTGCAAGCAGAAGCATCAGACCAACGCCGTGCCCGCTGTATGCGGTGGAGGAGTTGTCCTCCACGTGTCCCGGAGAGGCCATCAATATCTTGACAATTTGGAAGAACGAGAGGAAGCCGGTGGGCGGCTACTGTACTCATACAGTGACTGTTTTATCTTTTGTCCCACTATGAGGTACGCCGGACATCCTAGGCTGCATTAGGACGGGTGCTGTTTATTACTTGCATATGATTGTTGGAATAGAAAGAATTGCTATTGCAGAGCAGAAAATGGCCCACGATCTCGTCAACAGAATTCGGGCTCACAGCAAGGTCCATGTTGTTGGACCGAGGGTAATTTGAACTTCAAATTTTTTATCTTCAAATCCTGGCTTCGCAACTCTTTCAGGATCGATCCCACTGTGCTGGCATTATCTCTTTCAATATTTTGTATAATCAGCTGGATACTGCCACGAAGCATGGCTTGTACGGAGTCAATCCTCGACTGCTGTGTATGGCTGATGTCCATATAGGTATCTGCATTACAATTTCGTAAGTGCTGTGCTGAATGATCTATTCGGAATCCAAGCAAGAGGTGGTTGTGCCTGCGCCGGTCCTTATGGACATGCCGTTCTCGGTGTAGACTGCGGCAGTGCTGAGAGATTTGAAGAGGCCCTCGGTATGCTGTGTCTCGTGCGTGCGG